ATGTCTGTGTCCACCCCCAAAATATATTTTGCAAGTGAAATGCAGTAAGGATATATTTTTGGTGAGTAGACCCTGAAATGTCACTGTCACACCTTAGAAATATATTTTTGCCCTGGCTTGGCCTTAGGATATATTTTGTGAAACAGATGTGGTAAGGATATATTTTTCTGGTCTGTTGGGGTGTCAGGGGTCCTAGTTTCAGCAAAAAACTTGTGATTTTTTTTGCTGTCTAGGGTATATATTCTGGAAGATCACCTCACTTTAGCTAGGTCTCCCAGCTTCATATTTCTAAGCAAATGTTGAGTATGTAATCAGTTGCACTAAACATCTGACTATTCTGCAAACATGGCACAAATAATACGACTTTCTGGAGGTTATATTGTTCATGTTGGACCAAACACTCCACTCTTGCAAACCAGATGTTGGTGAACTGTGCAACTGAACAGAGAAGAAGAGAAAGATCAAAGCACTTTGTCAACTCAGAGGGTGTTTCAAGGCAGCTAAAGAATTTCATAGTCCAAACTGTATCTATAGTGTCAAAGTGGATAATATGCAAGCAACTACTCAGGTAGGTTGCAGATGCTATTGATGCCCCTTATTGCTACCTACATACTGGGAGGACAGACCAGACATACTGCCAAAACCCCTGGAAATCATTGCAGAATCTTCCAGAATATATATCCCAGACAGCAAAAAAATCACAAGTTTTTTTGGTGAAAATAGGACCCCTGACACCCCTACAGACTCAAAAAATATATCCTTACCACATCTGTCTCCCAAAATATATCCTAAGGCCAAGCCAGGGCAAAAATATATTTCTAAGGTGTGACAGTGACATTTCAGGGTCCACTCACCAAAAATATATCCTTACTGCTTTTCACTTGCAAAATATATTTTGGTGGTGTGACACAGACATTATAATTTTTGTGTGACATTTCAGGGTCCACGTCTCAAGAATATATTTTAGATTTCAGGGCTTTCTAAGACCCATATATATCTAGAATATAGATATGGTCCATGACATTTAGTCATGTAACTTACATGTAGTTTGCATGACTAATAGTCAGTTGGCAGTGGGTGACTGAAGTGTACTTAATGGACCTCATTAGACCGCCACCAGGGATTTTCTGATTGACATGGTATACAAGCAGTGGACCCATGTTCATACTACATCTGGCTACTAGAACCAGTAAAGCCATGCATGTGCGCACAATTGATTTCCGCATGTGCACACCATTGATTTCCAGTCAAACCACTAAAATAAGTCGCAATAAACAATATTTGCCTGTACATCGGAAGCACAATGTGCATCTTGCTTCTTTGAGACAATGAATGAACCATCTTCACTTTCTCCAGTCCTTTTTCTTTTTTCTTGGAAAATGTTCACTTTTCAAACAGAATGTTAAGTCCGGTCAATTTTCTTTATCTTCTGCAAAAATGGTTGCCAATTAACCTACATGTGCTAGCTAACCTAACTGTACTCTGGTTTAAGGTAGTTTCAAGGTGTAGTTTAATATTTCCTATCTCATTATTCCTCGAGGCATACAGAAGTTGTTCTGATGATGATTGTCAGGGTCACAACCTTTTTGATGTTTCCGTTCCATGATGGTTTCTCCCGATCATTACTGTTCCGTGATACAACAACCTTAATGTTTCCGTTCCGTGATGGTCTCTGCCAATCCAAGGTTATCTGCCTGATGCTAATCTGTGATCGGCGCTCATCACAGATATTTTTAGTATTTCCAAGTCACACGAAACCTAAAGCAAAGCCAGGACCCAGTGAAAGCTTTTGGGAAATGGACTTTGCGGAGCTGTTGGGTGGACATGGGGTGAAAAGAAAATACAGTGATAATGAAGAGGATGCCCTCCCCAACAAGACTTCTCGGTTGGAGGCCGGTGACAAACTTGGCCCCAAAAACGGCCGACCTGGCACAATCAAGAAGGCTGCTGGCTCCCCTGTCATACAAGATGTTTCCATTGACAAACCATCTACCGAGGTCGATCCACATGCTGGTCGCAGCCCATCAACTAACATTGATTTAGTCAAGTCAGCCATGGCTGTCCCTGTCAAGGCAAAACCTAAACCTCGGCCCATCAAAGGCAAGGTTTCCACTGAGCTCGGTATTGTGACCTGAGATCGGTCAAAGAGAATTGCTGAAGAGAGTGTTCGAACCACCCGATCCAAGAAACATTAGTTTATATCTTTTTAGAATAATGTCAATTCATTTTGTGTTGGAGTTTCACCCGAGTTCATAATTGCAAAAGGTATATAAAACTACTTATTCACCCTGGTCCCGAGCCTTCCCCTTGTTCATTACAAACAGTTTTAGTGAAAGTAAGGTGGCATCCAATGCTGCTAAAATATCTTGATCAGTTTCAATCTGTTCAACCAACCTTTCTTTATCCCTCCTCATTCGAGTTAGAATATACCGATAATGGCTGGTCATCGTAATGTTTTCAGGCAGGGATCTGACTGCAAGAGAGTCCATGGCATCATTGTGGTTATCATTGTGGGCAAGTTCTTGAGAGTCATGCTGATCCAATTTGGCCTGCATGTCCCAGAGTACGGGATCGGGTGAAGGATCTGGGTCAGTGACCCTTTCCCAGACTTTGGTGAATCCCTCTATCATTTTTCCCCCTCTACCTTAAAAAACCACCCAAGCTTGGCAGAGCTCTGACAGAGTTGAGCTGAGCTTGGCAGGAATTACAGGGGGACAATAAAGACCTCCAATTTTTCACTGTTGCCACTTCAGTCACCCATTTTTGGGTACCTATGAGGTTAAGGAGAAGGGAAGGGAGAGGGGAAGGGAGAGGGGAAGGGAGAGGGGAAGGGAGAGGGGAAGGGAGTGAGGGAGGGGGGAGGAAGAAGGGAATAAGGTAGGGGGGAGAGTGTGTATGAGGGAGGGGGGAGGGAGAGTGTGAGGGAGGTGGGAGAGAGTGCTGGACAGTGAGGGATGGGGAGGGAGTGCTGGGCAGTACTTACTGTGGTCCAATTTAAAACAACAACGACATTGGTCATTGACACTTGCATCGGTTCGTGGATATTCCAGGGCGCTGAAGGTGGTTCATCGATGGTGCTGCCAGACCCTGGGCATGGGTGGCAGTCATGGGCAATCGTCGTTGGTACGTGGCATGGTGGGTGCTTGTCATCGATGGTGGTGGGGCCTCATTCAGCGAGGGGTCATGGGCCATCGTCGCCATGCGTCAATGGGTGCTCGTGAGTGGTGGTGGGCGGTCGTACATGTTGGCGGTGGGCGCTGGTCACCAATCGTCGATGGGTGCTCGTGACTGGTGAGCATGTGGGCACTGGTCGCCGTTCGTCAATGGGCACTCGTGTGTGGTGGTGGGTGTTCATGGAGGTTGGTAGGGGCGATGTGATGGCCGCTCGTGGCCACTTGTCTTGTCGCCATCCGTCGATGGGTGGTCGTGAGTGGTGGTGGGTGGTCATGCATGTTGGTGGTGGGCGCTTGTCGCTGATCGTCGATGGGCGGTCGCATGTGTGGCATCCAGGTTGCTAGAGAATTGATTCTGGATTCGAAGAGGAGCCGCGTGCAGAAATAGGGAATAGCATCCGCGCGCGTGCATAGCTGATCTTTGAGGTCCTGGTGCCAGGGACAAATGAGGTTCGAGAACATCGTTGATGACCACTATGGTGGTTAAAATGGCGTTAGCGTCGTCTATGACATGAATGGTGGAGGGAAGTGAGAAGGAATGGATAAACAACGGACAAAATTGAAAGAATGAAGGAGGAAGTTCAAAGGACAAAGGAAGAAGCAAAAAAGAAAAGGCAGAACGAAGGAAGAGAGAAACAGAGGCGGAGAAAGTTGAGAAGGGGAAATACAATGATGTATGCATCTCCAACAGTTGCCAAGTCCTTGATATATTGATACCCTGCAACGTTAACATCAAGTCCACCAGCTGATGAACATGTCTGCCAATGCATGAGGCCGTACCCTGCTAATACAACACATAGCTGCGGCCACCGAACTGCAGATCGTAGTTGTGCTCTCCCTCGATCTGCATAGTATCTGAGGACGTGAACACAGGCTCGAACACGATTTGCTTAGAGGCACCACCAAGGTTGAGGATGGCGTAAGTGGGCGTATCGGGTGCGTGTAAGCTTTGATCGGTTTGAGGAGACAGTTAGCAACTCTCCCTGAGTACATGCCCTCATCCTTTCCAGCCATGATCCTCACTCTGACTTTCTCCTGTATTTGTGAGGGATAAGATGATCGTATCCTACCTTCGCACTCAAAACATCAGCGCCCTTGAACCCGGTAACAAACGGAGCGAACGAATAATTTTCTTGCTTTCGATGAACATTTCCCTGTGGCCATGCGTACGTTTCACACACCGCAATGTAGCGGTACAGTCCTCGGAACTTTTGAGCTCCATCAATCTCCTGATGGAGGGACGTCTGCAAGAAAGGCATGAAACCCGAACGAGGAGAATGTCGAAAGACTGAGTCTGGGAATGGCGAAACAATCCCGGTTTTTGATGTCTGTGCTCTACAGTCAGCTTGGAGTTTTGCACCATAAGCGAACGCGGGGAGCGTCAAAGTGAGAAAGTTAAGGTGGGCAAGGGAGGCACACATAGATAGCTCTGTCAAAAGCAGACAAGACCATCTGAAGATACGTAATGGAGGGAGGGATAAATTACTTAGCGTAGAACGTCAACCCCTCGCGGTGCAAGTGAAAAAGGGGCGATAACTCGCTTATATGCGCGCAGTCCGTGACATCCTGACACATCATTGACGTCTTGTCGGTTGGTTATACGAGGTCCAAAGAAGAGAAGAGGAGAGCTGGGCGCGTCAATCTGCAGTGGTGGTTGGTGGTGTCCACTAGTATAGTGTGGCATTTCCAGAGCTGCGAAAAGACGAGTGTGAGGCAGAAGTTGAGTGCGTTGAATGTTATCATGATCCTTCTCGGATTGCCATCAATGGTTTGAGAATGGCCAGGAATATCTCCTGGGCCTGTTGGTGATGAAGGTCGCAAATTGGTCGCAACGTGATGTCATCATCATGTGTCTTTTTTAAGCCTTCCTTCAAGTTCGCAAGGCACTCGGTGCATCGATGGAATTGTATTTGGCACTCGCACTCTTGGAATATCCATCTGGTTTCTGCTCTTAGAATTGTCACATTCCCTGACTATCGCCACAAACTGCACGTGCACCCGCACCCTCCTCACATTCCCATCAGCACCATCCGCATCATGTACATTTGCAGAGACCACATCTGTCTAGCAGCACGTTGAGATGCTCCCTCGCACCAACGGAATCAACAAGATCACTATGAATTAACCATCACCTATGACCACGACGACAAGTCTAAATGCTTACCCGCATCTAGGCCATTACTCACGAAGACGCAGCGAGGACAGTGCTAGGCGCGTGCACTTCCATCAGGATCAACAAGCATAAGGAGGAGCGGCTGCAGCAACAGCCGGCAGGAGGACAACAACCAAATCCACTGGCTCAGCATGGCCAGGTTCAGCAGTATCAGATGCATGTTGTTTGCGCCAGTCGTTACGGGCGCACCGATGAAGAAGCCAACATACTATCCGGTTAGTGGGGGGTAGTATTGGAGTGGGGATTGTGCGTGCTTTACCTGGGTGTGCTAGGTGTGTCCGTTTTCTGCCATTTTCAAGGTGTTCGATCCTCAGACGATCCTCGCTAGGGTCTCGTTTGGCGTGTTCTTTCTGGCCTTTGGAACATCTTCCATTGAGTCCTCTGTCCTGTTTCCACTCCCATCCCTCTTTCACCGTCCTCAACTCTTTCCACTCGCACGTCAACACATGGATTCAAGCCATACAAGCGGTGACCGGTGACCACACTCAGGAGGGGTGTTTCCTCTGGCACGGCATCACAAGATATCAACTTGTGGTTGAGCCTTGAGAGCGTATTGGACGCGATAGAGGCACAGTTGAGGAGCGAGGAGGTGGGGTTCATGGATGCACTGAGGAATGCAAAGAGGTTCGATGCCACTGTCAGTTTTACAGCTGATACCGGGTCCTACAGATCTCGGTAGGTCTCTCCTTCCCAGATTTGTTATTGTGTTCAACGCTAACGACGGGAACAGTAAAACCAACTTATAAAAGACTTCCCATTCAATGACCTCCTCTCTCTCTTCCTATCATGACAAAGAACACGAATTCATTATCTCCCACCTAAACGGAAAACTCAGACTATCTCCCTACCCAATCCGTTGAACTCTCCCACTCGTCGAAGCAATCCTAAGAGATTTCAATGACATCCTTCTCCGGATCTCAACATCCCACCAACTAGCGTACTCACTTTACCCAACCTTCGAGTGTCTACTCACACAAATGACGGCGATATTTAGGACGTGGGACGAGGAATTCATGAATGTCACGAGGGAGGTGACGAGAAAGAGGAGTGAGAAGGTTATTCCGACGCATTAGAAGCTTGTGGAACGGGTGAGGTATTTGAGGAGGTTGGCTGTTATGACGGATCCGACGAGGGGGTTGGCCTTGGAGGAGAATAAAGGGGGGACAGGAACAGGAACAGGCGTACCCCACCCAGCTACCTTGCCTTTGTCAAGACTCAAATTGCCCCTCACCCACACCCAGACTTCGATTGAAGAGGAATGTGGCTGTTCTATTTTCGCCTACAAGTGCTTCGTTTTCGGCCAACACGTACTCCACTTCCACTTTGACTGCCTCCACCTCCACCTCCAGCTCCAGCACCACCAACAACACTTTTACCCCCTCCTCCTCTATCTCCACCGCCCCAAACACATCCTTCGTCTCATCAATCTTCCCACCCTTCCACGATGCACGCAACCTCACCGCTCCACCTCCCAAACCCAAGCACTTACACAAATAATAACGCTAAGAGCAGCCTATGCACACGACGAATGGAGGCGGTCCATAGGTGGTTCCTCAGAATTTGCATTTCGATATGCTTGCTTGTTCGCCTGTTGAGGGAGGTCTTTATTGTCCTCCACTGATTCCTGCTGGAATCCGGCGGAATCTGGGGAATTCCTGGAATTCCGGGCAAATCAAATTTGGCAGAGGGCCCTGCCAAATTGATCAAACAATTCCGCGGAATTTTGAATGGAATTCAAATTCCGCCGGAATGATTCCGGTGATCACCCGGAAGGAATAGCCATGGAACGAGACGGAACGGAATTTCTGATGCCCAAATCAAGTATCGGCAAACGCAAACGCCGACGCTTGATTTGGGCATCAGAAACAAACAACCCACTCTCTCATCTCAACCACCACCATCGTCGACGACACCCACCCATCGCCACGTCACCACCATCACCCGTGGTCACCACCCACAACGCTCGTCAACCGGCAACCACGACCACCAAACACGGGAACGCCACGTCACCGATGCCACGTCGCTATCAGCGATGTGGCAACCAAACGACGAATGATGACGTCGTCGTCGTTCGTCGTCATTCAGAGGTGAGTCCCCCCCCCCTCCTCCATCCCAACCCACCCCGCTAACACTCACCAAAACGCGACCCAACGACAACCCAACAACGACACGACACAACAACGACGCGACCACGCGACACGACACCAAGAACGCGACACAACGATGCCCACGTCAGCAGAAAACGACCACATAAGCCGACACGACGATGTCAGCAGACAACGCCCACGTCAACGGCCGACGAAGACGACATCAGCGGACGACGGCGAGCACGTCAACGAAGACACGACAGGAGGCCGACGAACAGCGACGAGGCCCAGTACTCCCCACCACACTCTCCCCCCTCCATCAGTCCCCACCACTCCATCCACCCTCCCTCTCTTCCCTCCCTCCCTCCTTGCCTCCCTCCATCCTTCTTCCCTCCCTCTGTCCCTCTTCCCTCCCTCCATGCCCCCTCTCTCTCCATTCCCCCACCTCTTTCCCTCCCTCCCCCCTCTCTCCCTCACTCCCTCCCCTCCATCACTCCCTCCCTCCTCCATCACTCCCTCCCCTCTCCATCACTCCCCACCACCTCTCCCCATCACTCCCTCTCCCATCACCCCTCTCTCCTTCACCCCTCTCCCCCTCCCCTCCATCCCTCCCCCCTCCCTTTAACACTCTATGTAGTAAGATAATTTTGTAGTAGAATAATCTCATGTAGTTCTAGTGAATACACCTGAATTATTTATGTTCAAATTTGAATATCATAAGCAATTTCTAAGTTTAAGTTATCAGCATAGAATAGAATAATAGATTGACTGACTGCATTACACAAGTAATTCAGGAGGTCTTGATAAGTGCAGATTAAGTCATATGACATCTAGCTAAAGTGGAACTGTAGGGGGAATCGAGAAGTATAGATTTGTACTGAAATTTCTGTCTATTCCAGTCGGATTCCTGTCAATTCCGGCCGGAATCCGCGGAATCCGGTAGGAATCAGTGGAGGAATGGAAAGTATTGTGCGGATGAGGAGATTAAAGAGAAGCTGAAAGTGAAACGGAAGCCTACTGATGATGTTAAGCCCTCTGTGGAAGAAGCTAGGATGGCGAAGCGGCGTTGTATGAATGGGAAAAAAATGGTACCTTGGGTTGTGGGTGTTCCTTGGCAAGCTACCTTCCCTCAGAGCCTCTTTGACACCGAACTTTGCATTGCTGTACCTCTGCCTTTTTTCCTTAACAAGAATCTGAATATCTTGAATGTTGAGGCTTCTACTCTGCCTACGACGAAGACTAATCCAAATCCTGGGGAAACGAAGGGTACTGTTATTCTTGACATTGAGAAATTGTCTGTCCGCTTCGGGAAGGAACTCTCCTTGTCTTGCAGCCAGTGGACAGAGGCTGCTGGTAACATGTATTTATTTCAAAAGGAACGTGATGAAGAGGGCACTGGCGAGGCTCATAGTAACTGGTATAACGATCACTTCTGCTTCTATACTGCTCAGGACACAAAGGACGACCTTTACGAGGCCTGGAAACCTGATGAGCTGAAGTTCCATCAGGAACATTGGGCGAAATACGGTGAATTTGACGCCGCTCGTTATTACCAGGCCTACAAGCTGTCCGAGAAGCAGTGTGAAATGATGGCTGACATTCATGGGATGATGGGGTCTGAACCTACCAAGCCTTCTCTCAGCGCGACATTTGGGAAACTCACGCCACGAATCACTTCTTGCTCTTCTCAAACACAGCCTTCACAGCCCTTTTCTTCAGGCAGCGGCAAGTCCTCCTCCTCGACACCCGACTGCCTTATCTGCGCTGAGCGAGGCCATGACGCAACTCAACACGCCGATAGCACCATCGTCATCAAGTTCAAATCTGATGGCAAGCCAGTATGGTCCAAGTACAGTGACCATAACCTCCTCAGCCACGACAACTGAGTCATTTGCATCAGCTGGAACCTTCGAGGCGACCGTGGGCACCCATGCTCTCATAAAGACGAGCGCGCCCATCTCTGCTCCTTCTGCGGGAGTAAACGCCATCACGCCTTCGCATGGATTTGCCATTCCAGACCCTCAAACTGATGCTTTCCTTCAGGCGTTGCTTTCTCTTAATCTTTCCTACTCCGACTTCTCCTCTTCCATCATTCCTCGGCCCCCTCTGGCTTGTACCTCTTCTGAGGATTCCCTTCTATTTCACAGAGTCTTGCACCCATATAGTCCTGACGCCTTCGACTTTCTATTGTGCAAACACGACCTTTTCGACAGCTACCCTCTCCTGCCTTTTAACCTGTGCTTCGGGTTTCCTATTGGGCATATGCCCTCACTTCCTCACACCGTCATCATGCCCAACAATCCTTCCATTCTTTCTTATCCCGATACTGTTTCCGACTACCTTG